CATTTTTTATGGCATAACAAGCCTCAAGCTTTAGTACATTCATAATCAATTTTAAACCTAACTTGCATGTTGGAGTAATTCCGGATCAATTTCTAAAATGGGTTTGTTTATATATCTCTTTCCTATTTAGTATATTTTTCATACAGAAAAACGTGTTTTTTGAAAAAAAAAAAAAAATCAAACATAAAGCTCGAATAAATTTGGTCAACTATCTAGACATATTTTGGATAAATGAGAATCTAAGTTGAAAGCGAACAATATCTATTCAATTGGGTCGAACTATTATTACTAACACGCACTATTGATACGAGTATTAACTAGTTCATGTAAAACTTCAAATCTCTTTTATATAAAGGCCTTAAGAAGTCCAATGTCTCTCATGGGCTTAAAGTACTTACTATTTATATGGTTCAATATGCACATCCCATATTTATCATACAATATTTCCAATTATTTCTCAATATATACTTCATTATATGATCTCTTGATCTTAGAATAGCAATAGTACAACATGTAACATGTTATTCATAATTAGACCCATTTTTTTTTCTAATATACTATTATTAATTGATGTTTCGTATGATTCATTTAAAAGACTTTATTAGACTCATATATTAATGTTGTACCTAATTCAATTAATCAAATCTCTTTATCTTGAACGATTATTTTCTTTATCTCTTTGAGAAAGTCATCATTGGGTTCCATCGACAAAATTTTGTGGCTAGGTCCATTTTTTTTTTATTTTTTTATCTAAACCTTGGTCATGTTTCATGTGAGGAACCTTTTAAACCTAATTAAGTATTGGTATTGAGCTCTTATACCTAATCACTTTAGATTTTGTAATAACTTATAGCTTTAGTCTTTGGATGGCACTAGTACTAGGAGTGTTCAAAAAAATGCAAAAAACCGAAACGAACTGAAAAAACAGTTTAGTTACGGTTCGAAAAATTGAAAAAACCAGATTTCTGGTTCGGGAAAAAATAAAAAACAATTAACCGAAACTAGTTTTTGAACCGGTTTTACAAATATATATATATATATTAAATAAAAAAATAATTTCATTTCGGACTTTTATATATATATATATATATTAAATAAAAAAATAATTTCATTTCGGACTTTTATTTGTATCAATTTTTAATGTATTGTTAGTAGTGATCAATGGATATGTATGAATGTTTAATTTTTATTTGGATATGTATTGTTTTTATTTATAATTTAATTTAGGAAAAAATTTAAAAAAAAAGTTTTATAAAAAAAAAAAAAAGGAAAATCAGTTCAAAATCGGTTAACCTTTTTTTTTTAAAAATGGTTAACCGGTACCGAAAAACCGGTTTTCCCTCCAAAACCGATTCAGTTTTGGTTAAGGAATTTTCCTAAATTGAAAAACCGGTTCAGTTCAGAAAACCGGTTAACCACTTTTGAACACCCCTTACTAGTACAACACGTCATTCGTGTACTTGTTTAAGTATACCATGCCACACATGTATTTATTAATCATGAATTTTCGATTTTAAAATTTTAACAATAAATTTATTATCTCGCTCAAGAAAGTCTTAAGATGGCACTAACATAACATATTCCATATCTAGGCCTATTTATCTATTTAATACGTTTCACACGATTCATGTGAAAGAGCCTTTTACACTTAAATACTAATATTAAGCTTCTATATGTAGCAACTTAAACTTTTCATAATATCTAGGCGTTTTATTTATATATTTGTTCATATATTTTGTTAGGTATAAGTTTATAGGGTCCGTTTGGTTTGTTATTTTCGATAGGATTTTGAAAATAATATTGGATAGTTGAATATGGTGATTATTACAAGGTAAAATTTAAAAAAAAAAAAAAAACCCCTAGGTTCGCTAATTTAACTAAACACCATAATATATAAAATTTTGTAAAATGGCAAAAACACTCCCACCCACCCACAGTGTCAGATTCCAGCCACCATCGTCGGAATCTGATCGAAATCTGACATTACGATGCAAACCGGTCGGATTTGGCAGGACGTGCGTCGATCTGGCCTTTTCTGATCTGGCCAGAAAAGCCAGATCTATCCGTCAGGTCAGATCTGGCTGTCAGCGATAGCCAAAGATATGACCTTCATTGTCGATCAATGACGACCATTCAGATCAGCGAATTACCGGCCAGTTCCGTTCGTTTATAGGCCGTTATGACAGATTCCAGCTACCACCAATGATGGTTACCGGAATCTGGCAACTATGGGTGGATGGAGAGTATTTTTGTTAATTTTTAAACTTTTTTCTGAGGGTGTTTATGAAATTAATAAACTTAAAGGGTCTAAAAATAATTAAAAAAATATAATAGTATTTTCTAAATAATTAAACAAACAGTTATTTTGAGATTAGGATTGGGAATAGGGTATGAAATAATAAATCAAATGGACCCATAGATATGCTCATCCCACATAAAGGATAATACTTCATATACAAACCTTTTATATAAATTCTCTCATATAAAATGACTACATGTAAATGATTAGATGATTTTAAATTAAAAAAATTACTCATTCACAAGATATGAATTCTTACGCGTATAATTAGAATTCTTTATGTTATGCCTGAAAAGTTAGGGCTGACGTGGAATCTCGTCAGCAAAAGTCAATCAGGGCTCAGGAAGGTTTTTTGCTGCGCATGGGGTATGGTTCCTATCAGTGCAGTAGGTGAGTGTCAGGCTTGCGAGTGGTTAGAGATCACCCACGTGTCAAAACCCTATGCAAGTTGATGATATCTCTCAGGCAGGTAACCAATGAGACTCAAAGAAGGATTTACACAGCACCTACCCATTTGCAGATTTGTAATCATTATCTTGAACTCTTCCACTATAAATAAGGTTTTCCCTTTCATTTGCGGGATTGACTAATCTTACTCTAAAATAGCTTACACTCATTCTCTCTCTCTCTCTCTCTCTCTTTGTATTCTCTCTAAATTGTAACTCAGCTCGCTGCACGTGACTTGATTTTACCATTTTATTAATACAATAACAGTAAAGATTCACTTTTGAGCATCCGAACCATTTTATATATTGTTTCTCATTCATTATTTCGTTTAATATTTTTATATCACGTGTGATTTCTAAATCTGTTTAATACTTTATACATGCTAGTAGTTGATATCAAAATCAAGCATCAATCCTTTATTTTACATTTCTATATTAGTAGTCTTATCTTTGTTTTATATTAACGATTATAAAGACTTTTGGAGCCAATAGAAATAGAGTTGTTATTTATATTCTCTATTAATATAAACTTAATAATCAACTAATCGCATAACGTTATTCTCGAGATTCTATCAAATTAATAAATTTTTATTTTTCATATTTTTAATTATTCCTAATAATCAATTCTATTTATTTAAAAATATNAAGTTAGGGCTGACGTGGAATCTCGTCAGCAAAAGTCAATCAGGGCTCAGGAAGGTTTTTTGCTGCGCATGGGGTATGGTTCCTATCAGTGCAGTAGGTGAGTGTCAGGCTTGCGAGTGGTTAGAGATCACCCACGTGTCAAAACCCTATGCAAGTTGATGATATCTCTCAGGCAGGTAACCAATGAGACTCAAAGAAGGATTTACACAGCACCTACCCATTTGCAGATTTGTAATCATTATCTTGAACTCTTCCACTATAAATAAGGTTTTCCCTTTCATTTGCGGGATTGACTAATCTTACTCTAAAATAGCTTACACTCATTCTCTCTCTCTCTCTCTCTCTCTTTGTATTCTCTCTAAATTGTAACTCAGCTCGCTGCACGTGACTTGATTTTACCATTTTATTAATACAATAACAGTAAAGATTCACTTTTGAGCATCCGAACCATTTTATATATTGTTTCTCATTCATTATTTCGTTTAATATTTTTATATCACGTGTGATTTCTAAATCTGTTTAATACTTTATACATGCTAGTAGTTGATATCAAAATCAAGCATCAATCCTTTATTTTACATTTCTATATTAGTAGTCTTATCTTTGTTTTATATTAAAGATTATAAAGACTTTTGGAGCCAATAGAAATAGAGTTGTTATTTATATTCTCTATTAATATAAACTTAATAATCAACTAATCGCATAACGTTATTCTCGAGATTCTATCAAATTAATAAATTTTTATTTTTCATATTTTAATTATTCCTAATAATCAATTCTATTTATTTAAAAATATCCAAATAAATATAAATTTATCAATGTGCTGGCCCCACCTAATTAAGCCTTTGTTTTATATATTAATACTTTTATCTTTGTTTTATAATACCAAAAATGAATTTTCGAGCCAATAGAAATAGGGTTTTTATAATATACTTTGTTATTGTAAAATTAATATTCAACTACTCAAAACATTATTCTTGGAATCAATTGATTTATAAACAAGTCTTGACATTAAATAACAGTTTTTTTTTTCTTTTTTCTTTTTTTTTTCTTTTTTTAAGTTCTAAAAATAACAAAATTTCGCTTGCTATTAAGAAATCGTTAGAATCTAACAATTACTGGATGAAGTTTTCCGATACTTATTTTAACACTTGAAACTTAATAATAAGAGAAATTTTGTTATTTAGGTCTTCAAGGTGAACAATCTCTGGTCGATGGAACAATGTAGGCAAGGAAAATCGGCAAAATGGATCCGTAACTTCGGAAAAAGGATTGGCTCTGAGAGTTGGGCACAGGGGTCCCAGTCCCGAATCTGTCGGCTGTCGGTGGACTGCTCAAGCTGCTCCCACGATGAGAGCGGGTCGCCGCGTGCCAGCCGGGGTAGGGACTGGGAACGGCCCCTTCGGGGGCCTTCCCCGAGCGTCGAACAGTCGACTTATAACTGGTACAGACAAGGGGAATTCGACTAACGATTAAAAAATCATTTTTATTAAGTATATTATTAACTTTTTCTTTCCTCTTCAGCAATCAAATGTTTGTCCAATGTGTAAACAAAACCTTTACAACATAATTCACACACGCATAATCACTCAAAAACCTACAAACAAGGAGAGAATACAAAAGAAAATTACATTAAATTAATTGCTTATAATTTCATCAATCAATTATTGGCTTTTTCTTTATCAGTTTCTGTTGTTGCAGCAGCAGCATCTTCATGATCTCCCTTTGCCTTTTCTCCACCATCCTCATCATTCTTTTCTTCTGGTTTAGTAAGAACCAACTCCTTTGGAGGTCTTGTTAATAAAGAGTGAGTAGTTTTATCTGAATGATCTTCTGATTTGTACTTGTACCATGAGGCTGAGACCAAATAAAGTCCAAAATTTAGCACACTAAGAATGGCCAAGAACCAGTAAAACAAGTTGAGATTATTGTTGTTAATGTCTTCTCCATGAAGCCATCCTTGTTTGCTTGGAGTCACTCTTTTTGTCACTGCATTTATAATACTAACAAATGCACTGCTCAAAAAGTAGCCAAGTGCGAATGAAAGCCAAGTAAATGCAGTGGAGAGTGATCTCATTCCTATGGGAGCTTCCTTGTAAAAGAACTCCAACAATCCCACAAGAGTAAACATGTCTGCAATCCCAAAAATCCCATATTGAAATGATAACCAAAACAGGCTGATAGGCTCCAAAGGGTTTTTGATGAACTGGTTCCTTCTTTTAACTTCAACAATGGCTGCTACTGCCATTGAAAGGGCTGAAAGTACTAGCCCCACACCTACGCGTTGCAGCTGTGTAATGCCTGAGGGATGCTTGGTGATCTTGCGCGCGAAGGGGACAAAAGCATATTCGTATACAGGAAGCAGAACGGACATAAAAAGTAGTGGAATCACTGGAATTGAAGGAGGAGGAACCTTGAATTTGCCCAGATGCTTGTCCATGAGATAGCCTTGTTGAACTGAAAAGGTCTGAAGTTGTGCTAAACAAGTGTTCATTATGATTGTACTACCTAAAATTGGTAACATTCTAACCAGAACTTTCACTTCTTCAACTTGAGTCACAGTGCAGACTGTCCATCGTGCTGGCTCCGAGTCTTTGCTCACAATTGCAGCCTTGTCTAGCCATCTGCAGATTCAATGAATCATATTAATTTAAGGTCAGAAGTCCTAAATTTTCTCAATGGTCAACTTGGTTAAGAATTAAACTAATGTACTAGTCCAACTGTTATGTCATTAATTAATTAGTTTGATAAAATAATGTTATACTTCCCAGTTTCTTATCTTATAAGTCACATCTTTAAGACTGGTTAGCTGATTAATCATTTAATTAAGGAGTCAATTATTCACCTAAAGACTCTTAGTTAGTTGTTTAACTAGGTTGACCACGAATTAATTAAGTGATGTTTAGTACAGGAACACACGTTTTGAGAGAGGGACAGCTCTTCTCTGCAGGTTCCATGAGGCGTGTCTCGTGGATCAAGACACAGCTAATCATGGCTTATGGATTTCATCTCCATGGCTGCAATTATTGGACTTGCAGACTTAGTTTAGGAATCTAATTATAACAAGGGAACAGTACCTAAACTGGTTGGTGTGCAGGATTCTTTCCTCTGTTGCAGCTCTTTCTTTCTCATTGATTTCATACAATTCCTCAGGATTCTCCGGCAGAGACTGCTTTTTGTTTTTAAATGCCACAACTATAACCTGTTACATATTCAAATATGGTTAGTTTCTCCATGTGTACATATATTTATATGCAAATTTGAAGGTCATGGAGGTGGAGATGGACCTGAGCAACCCTTATAATGGGGCTGTCACCAGGCAGTTGCAGGCGATAGAAAGGCTTCCCAATGATGAGAACAATAAAGCCAACAAAAGTAGCAACAGTTGATATGAGAAAACCCTTGTACCATGCTTTTTCTGTGCTAACATACACAATGAAAGTGACTCCAAAGGTGGATCCAATTGTGCTACTGAGCAATAGCCAATTGAAATAGGTGGGAAGTGATTTTGCTTCTATTGGATCATTTTGATTGAACTGCTCAGCACCAAGTGGAGGAACAGCTCCCTTAGATCCACCTGCACCTAATGCTAACAAGCACAGAGAGAAATATAGCATTACTGCTGCACCGCCTTTCACACAACTTGTCTTGCCACAAGCATCCGCATGCAGACTGTTTGAGGCAGCTTGAATTGTTACTATCACCAAGGCCTACAATAATCCAAAGTCAAACGGTAAATCATTACTTTTAAGGTTTCTGATATTGAATATATGATAGGGAATTTGTGCTTCCTCACCAGAATTTCAATTGTTCCGAAAATCAAAGCAGTGGTGAATCTGCTTAAGAAGGTGTCAGAAATGAAGCCACCAACAAGAGTGAGCAAGAAAGTTGAGCCCATAAAGTTTGTGAGAGTGTTGGCAGAGCCTGCTGAATTGAAGTGCATCACAGAATAGAAATAGTATCCCAAGCTGATCATGTTAGCTACAAATCCCATGTTCTCCAATGATGTCAAGGCTACACAATTCGAAACAAATAGGAACATTGAATCTCGCATGTCAAGTTATATAATTGGAATCAAAGCTATGTAACCATGCCTAATTGCCTCACCAAAAATAAACGCGCAGGCTTTGAATCCACCCTTTCCCTTGGTGATCAATGTGTCTTCTCCATAATTAGTCCCCTGCAGGCATCCGAAACATGTAACATATCAAAGAGAGAAAGCAACAGAGAATACCAGAACCGATGAAAAACGATGATACTTACCATGTTGTGGAGACTTTTTTCAACAATTTGTGAACAAGCAGGCACAAGTTTTGGAGAGAAAAAGTACTGGAATATGTGCAGAATGTTGAGGGTGGGACATTTATAACTCAAAAGAGAGCATAGTTTATAACGTGTATATGAGCATAAACTTTTAAAAAATCTAGAGGTGGGAAGTGTGTATTTTTATCTTGTTTGATAAACGGATGAAGCAAGGCTCACTTGGTGTTATCGCAAGCAGCTTTCAAGAGCCCTACTCAATATATGATAATTGGTTTATGCTGGCTAAGTCCTTGTCCACTTATGTAAGCATTACTCCAGGAAGTAATTAAATAATCAGCTTACTCTAGGTGTTGTTTATAAATTAAACATTAATCTAATGGGATCAAAGAATTTATCTTTGTGATTCTCACTTTATGTTAAACAGATGCAACAATTAATGTACTCTTTGATTTGCTGTAGCCTGATTCCCTTCCCTTCATTTAGTTTAACTTTATATTACATTAAAAGCAAAAACATATTGTTAACAGGTGGAATATTTCAGAATCTAGCTAGCTACTAGCTAAGCAGTTAGCTCATGTTTATAGATGAATTTACAAAGATACAGCAAGACTAAAACTGAGTTTAAAACATATGTTGTATCGTCGCGGTGACAGAAGTTGGACAGTAAGAAATAGAGTAATGCGTTCCTTCATACACCTCCTCAATTACTGCATATTTATAGGCCTTTGCCTTCAGCTCACGACTTCTCCTGTTCTATACCTTGTGACTTCTTGAAAGTTGCTGCAATTGAAACAATTGAACCGGAATCAGTCGCCCTAGAAACTGATAGAATTTGAGGTGAGCTTGACTCTTCATCCAATAAGTTCTTGTTGAATGAGAGGATTATCCTCTCTTATAAACCAATAGGTTTGAGCATACCTAGTTAGTATGAGACTCCAACACTCCCCTCACAATCAAGCCCACATGTTGGGTTATGTCTGTTGATGGAGCTAGTTGCTGACTCTAACTCCTTACCTGTTGGTCAAGCACTCAGCTCAATTGGGTCTAACTCTGATACTATGACAGAATTTGAGGTGAGTCTGACTCTTATAAACCAGTAGGCTTGAGCGTGCCTAATCAGTATTTTCATGGGATTGAATATGTGATCACAAAGGTGTATTCTGCAATAGTAAAGTTATGCTGTATTTCATTTAACAAACTAATACATTTTATATTGTCTTTTACAACTATGAACAACAGTAGAGAAGACAGAAAATGAAAAAGTAGAGACAAAATTGAACTCAGTATCTCCTTCCAAGTGAATTATGATGCATCCTCAGCGATGTGTCGAGTGTTACCGCAGTCCATCCCTTCTTCTTTTGTGCATACATACACCATTTGAAGTTCCTGGAGAGGAAGTCCTTTCCTTTCCAAGCCAAGATACAAAACCTTCACCACTTGGCCAAGAAAAACCTCTCCATCAGATCAACCATAAAGATGAATTGGAATTGAGTGATCAAGCTTCTGCTTGGCAGGGTCAATCCAGAATTCTTAAATGGAGAAGTTGCAATTTTGGAACAATATAGAATGAGTATCCTCTGCAACAGATTCTTCCACATTGCTGCAATCTCCAATATACAAGGGATGGATTCTGAAGAGGCTCCCAACCTTGAAACACCCTTACAATACATAGACGCAAAGTCAATGAACAAGCAATGCTCAAATGATTGGTTCTTAAATCAGCCCTTCGATGAAAATACAAAGTAATTGTATTTTACAAGCCATGATACTAGGGGTAACATTGACATTTGATCTCAATTGGAATCATTTGCTCCGTAAAATTACTAATAAAGATGGGACCCGTTATTGGACCGATATAATCCATTGCGAACTATCAGGATTGTAAGAAAAAGTTTGTTAGATTTAGTTGGAAGTGGGTATTGCTCTAAAATTACATGAATTTTGGTTTAAGGGTTGACCTTATACCATTTCAATTGATATCAAATGTCAATATCACCCCTCATACATATAAGTAATGTATAAAATTATTAACTTGGACGGATAATCTTATGCTCAAAATTTGAACTTATCCCATTCCGATCAACATCAAAGATCAATATTCTTTATAGAATCATATCATATAAAAAGAAAAAATACTTTAATCTTCATTTAAAGGTCCATATAAACGCTTTTCAGTCAGTTGTAAAATAAAATTTATTTTAAATCTTAGTTAATAATACCCCTAATAAAATTACTAAATTAGGGGATAACGTATTCATATAATAATAATAATAATAATAAATTTAAAAATAAAAATAAAATAGGCACACGTGTCCGATTAACAGTATATATATATATAAACAAGGAACTGAGGAAGAGTAGGCGGGAAAGCTGAAGATAAAGGAGTGTACCTCTTCTTAACCTAAACCGCAAATTAGAGGCAGATTTTGTTGAATTAATCAAATGGGTATCAAGGTTTGTTGAGTTTTACTTTGAAATTTCATCTTTTTATTTCGCCATTGTTCTCGTAATTTTTGGTGATTTGAGATGAATTCTTTTGTGTTGTGTATTTTAGGGTTTAACAAAACTTTTAGCTGACAATGCACCAAAAGCCATGAAAGAACAGAAATTTGAGAGCTATTTTGGTCGCAAGATTGCCATTGATGCCAGCATGAGCATCTACCAGTTCCTCGTACGTACTTTTTCGTCTTTCTTTTTAAATTTTTTGATAAACCCTAGTTACTATTAAACCCAGAACTTTTTTTTTTTATAATTTTGAAGAAAAGAACCCAATTTTATCTATTTGGAGCTAATTTGCGTGTGGGTTTGTGTGCATTTGCGTGTTTAACAATGTGCAGATTGTGGTGGGAAGAACTGGGACTGAAACTTTAACTAATGAGGCTGGTGAAGTTACTAGGTAACTATTAGAAAATTCGCAACTATTTAATTCAAGTACAAGTTATAGTTACTTGTTTTTAATTGTTAAGTTTTCTAATTTGGTTCGTAAATATTGACTTTGAGTTTCGTTGGGTTTTATTTTGTAGTCATTTACAAGGCATGTTTACTCGTACAATTAGGCTTCTTGAATCTGGAATGAAGCCAGTGTAATGTGTTTCTTGCCTCTGTTTTTTTCTCTTTCAAATATAAATCTTACAGATAGCACTCTCTTACATTCTGTGAATTTTATTTGGTTACGTTTGTGCTTTGGCTCATCTATTTAGTTTATGTAATCAGCTATGTTTTTGATGGGAAGCCTCCAGATTTGAAAAAGCAAGAGCTGGCAAAGCGGTACAACCTTTGTCATTTTTTGGCTACAATATGAATAGAATTTTTCAAGGTTATGTGTCATCATTAATGGTACTTATCATACTGTGCTTGTGATGCAGTTTCTCAAAGAGGGCAGATGCCACTGAGGATTTGGCTGAAGCCGTGGAGGTACATGAATATTCTGTTCTGATTTTCTTGTGATTGTTCTGTTAGTTATTTTTCTATTTTTCATTTCATTATTTGGAAAAAACAAGAAATATATCACACTATGATTTCTGGAAACAACTTGTGTGCATTGTTTCAATACAGAGATGAGGATTCCTACAAGTAGCTCTCATATATGAAGCCACGAGGGAATGACTATAAAAGTTTGTACATTTATAATGAAAAACATATATGCTGTCATAAGAAAGTTTGTATAACACCTCAATATCTCATCCATGTTTTAGGAAAATGAATATATATTCCCTTTTGAGTGTTTGTAGGAGTTTTGGCATGGGTGATCATGAGTGTTGTGTATGCCAAATTTTTGATAGAAGTGCCTTACAACTCATAAATTATACAACTTTTACTGTTCCCTCATTGCAGGTTGGCAATAAAGAAGACATTGAAAAATTCAGTAAACGGACTGTGAAGGTGGGTCCTTAGCTCATATGTCTTGCTTCTGGTAATTTATGATTATCAGTTTATAGTCTATTCTCTGTTATATTAGAAATGGACAAATGGTCTAGGTCTGGATAGAAAGGAATGTGTTCACTTGTGCTAGATTTTGAGGCCATATGCTCTCTATTATTGCAGGTGACAAAGCAGCACAATGAAGACTGCAAAAGACTTCTAAGACTAATGGGAGTGCCTGTAATTGAGGTGAGTTTAGATATGTAATTTGTTGCTTGCGAGAGTTTGTTATGTATGAGAAGATGTGTTTATTCTTCCACTTTTATTGGTATATCTTTTCTTGATTTATATATGAATAACTTGTTTTTTAGCCAATTATGAAGTAAAATGGTTTTGATCTTGGGACTTCTCTTTCTTTTTGTAGGCTCCTTCTGAAGCAGAGGCCCAATGTGCTGCACTTTGTAAATCAGACAAGGCATGTATCTCACTTTTGACAATTAGTTATTTTATTTGGATAAGTGTGCATAATTCATTGAAATGAAATGGTTTTATTGAGCTTTCTATGGCGTGTAAAATGTGTGTAATTTATTCTCTGTATCATTTTACAGTATATCAGTTTCTCATACATATATGATCCTCTGCAAAAATCTTTGAATGACAGCATTACTGTCTATTGTAGATATTGTTAATTATTTTATCTAAAATTTGGTATATTTCAGGTTTATGCTGTCGCTTCTGAAGATATGGATTCTCTAACATTTGGTGCTCCTAGATTTCTTCGCCATTTGATGGATCCTAGCTCAAGAAAAATTCCTGTCATGGAGTTTGAAGTTGCAAAGGTGCATTGAACATTGAACAGTGATGTGGTTACTTGAGTGATTACATGACTGTTCTAATGATTTATTTTCTTTCAGATTTTAGAGGAACTGAATCTTACCATGGACCAATTTATTGATTTGTGCATCCTTTCTGGTTGTGATTATTGTGATAGCATTCGAGGTACTTGGGATTTAAAGTGCTGTTTGTTTTCCAAGACAATGATTGGCTAAAGGTTCAATAATTCAATCTTATATTTTTTGTCACAATAAATGTCTGCTACAGGTATTGGTGGGCTGACAGCTCTAAAGCTCATCCGTCAACATGGCTCGATAGAGAACATACTGGAGAATATAAATAAAGATAGGTAAGTACTTCTTTCAGCTTGAAAGTAATTACATGGTTGAAATTCATTTCCTCTTCTTTAGAAAGTAATTACATGGTTGAAATTCATTTCCTCTTCTTTAGAAAGTGTGAAATGATTTTTTAAAGCACGATCACATTGTTTCAAGTTATAAGTTGGAAGTTTGATTGTTTTACCTTGCTGATCAGATTCTCGGAAAAGGTGAAAGATGCTGTTGTGTTGTTGGAGAACTCATTCTTTCTCATTCGTGTTTAGATTATCATATAGATTACGAGACTGGATCGCTTTGGTGCTTTGCAAGCCAAGTGACTAGTTTGAATAGTTTCCATGCATTCTTCCATTGCTGTTGTTTTTCTGTAATTTCCAATTGTGGGAATTATACAATGGCCTTGATTAGTACACATTATTACTGCAATATCTTGTGTATACTTTCTCTATCCTTTCCATCTTGAAGGATGTAATTTTAGGAGTTCACGTTTTATTAAACTGTGTATTCTTCTTTTTTCATATTACTAGTACCAATTCTAAATTCCTATCTGAAAAAGAAAAAAAAAAAAAAAAATCATAAAAGAAGAAGAAGAAGAAGAAGAAGAAGAAGAAGATTCTATTTAGTGTAATAGTAGATTATTAACTCATAAGGTGTTTTAAATTTCTAGAGTATGCAGATTGATCAGTCTGTGCATATACTCATTTATTTGGTGGGTGAACAACTATTATGCTTTGTTTTTGCTTCACATTCATTTATATTATTATTTTATCCAGATACCAAATACCAGAAGATTGGCCATATCAAGAGGCTCGACGGCTGTTTAAGGAACCAGAAGTCTTCACTGACGAAGAGCAACTTGATCTTAAGTGGACTTCTCCAGATGAAGAGGTGAATCATAGCCTAAATTAGAATATATGTGTTGGATTATGCTTTCTTTTTGAATTTTTAGTATTTTAATGTTGTTGCATTATATTTACTATTTCTCAGGGATTGATTACCTTTCTGGTGAATGAAAATGGGTTCAACAGTGATAGAGTGACAAAGGTCTGTCTTCTAAGTGTTATGGCAAAGATCTCACCTGTAATTTCAATGAGGTTATGTTTATTTAGCATGTCAAAAAATAAGATGTTAAATTAATTTTTGAATTACTTTTATGTCTACTAGGCCATAGAAAAAATTAAGGCAGCCAAGAACAAGTCAGCACAGGGCCGGTAAGTAATGCTTCAGTAAATAAATTTGAAATAGTGGTTTCTCTTTTGCTGACTATTCCTTGTTTGTTTTCATTTTACAGGCTGGAATCATTTTTTAAACCAGTCTCTAACACATCTGGGCCCGTTAAACGGAAGGTATGCTTCATTAGCATTAAGAAGTGACTGCTGATTTTTTCTGTGTAATGCATTTTGGGGTTAGTTGAAGATAAACTTGTGATGATTCATATAAAATAGTTGTCTGCTAATCTTAATCATTAACTATAAATTTTGTTCCAGTGCCTCTTGATTTGAATTCTCATGCAAATTAAATACCTATACGTATAAGATCTCCTTTTCTCTAAATTGATGACAAAATGGTAGAAAGATTACCCTTCTCCCAAGCTTGTTCTTCGCTGTTGGGAAGTCTATGTCTAGACCTGATTTGGTTCCATAATTTCTTGGTACCCTGGATGACAGGAACCGAAATGTGTGCTTCAATCCCCAAAACAGGCATTCAAGCCTAGGATGTTCTCTCTGCAAGCTTGTAACTCTTCCATGCCCAACTTCACTGGCAGCCTAAGGTTGCCATCTCTAGCTCTGGGCTTGAAGCACTCCCCTCCATTATCCAGAGGTGTATGCTTCAGTGCATGAAGCTTGGTGAACCTCCTCATCGTATCTGCACTATACCTGTTACACTTTATTCATTTGCCGAAATCAAAATTATTTTATAATTGCTATGGTATTATGGGAAAAGTAAATCATACTGCTGCTCTTGTTAGTTGTAACCTCTATTTTGGTGGCATATTGTATAAAGGAACTACTTGGTTTTTTCTGCTTTCAGTTTTCTTATTCCATCATTTCATAACTTGTAATTGAGGTTTGACATCCTAGATCTCTTGTTAATTGACTATTTAGAGTGATATTTGTAAATAAATACATTTGTATGTGGTTAATTTAAACTTCAAATATTCCCCTGATGGTTGACTGTAATCAACTGATACAATGTGTCAATCTGTACCTATAAATCAAGTGAAGAAGGTGAGGATTACATGTAACCAATTAATTTTGTTTTCTCATCTTGATGGCAGGAAACACCAGGGAACAATCCTAAGGAAACGGCTAACAAAAAGTCGAAGGCTGGTGGAGGTGGTAGGAAGAAGAAATAGTTGATTGTTGTGTATAACATAAATGTAGTTAGCGGGAGCTAAATGCATCGGTTTCTTGCAGTTATGCTGGAAGAAAAATTTAAGTCGATGTATTGGTTTTGTGTTAAGAGTAGAAAAATTCTAAGGCAGACTTGAGAACGTTGTTTATAGATGTAATCTGAATACCAATCGCTGCTTCTGATATACTGCTACTTTGTGCCTTGACTTTCCTTTTTAGTCGAAATTTCTACCATAGTATTGAAGCAAAAGCCAAGCTTCAATATGAAAATTACTTGATTATTTGCTTTGTACCTTTGGATTCAATGTGATAAAATGACCTGTATTGGAAGAATTGTACCATACTGTCATTATCACTTGAATCTTCCTGGGGTCATTTCTTTTCTCAATGCAATCAATTCATTAATGCCTGCATGCTTCAAATCAAGAAAGTAACCATGTGAGAAATCAACATTTTTTCATATGATGTAAGAGTAAATTCTTTAACCGATTTCAGAATCAAATATTTATTGACAATTTTGAAGAGGATAAAGAACCAAATCTTTAAACACAAGATAAGTCCCTCCTCACCATTGTTTTAAAAATCGGACCGGAGGGTAACCCGCTCTGACGGCCGGGTCACGGTTCAACCGGTCCAACCGGTTGGACCGTCGATTGAACCGATGGTTTGACAGGTTTAAAATCTAACAAAAACACCCCTGAAAATTACCATCAGGCCCTATAGGTTTGAAATCTAGCAAACACAACCCTGGCCAAATGCAAATCAGCCATCGATTGGGAGAGCAATGGCGACACACCAGGGAGGGTAGATCGGATGATGGGGAGGGCGAATCGGTATCTAGCAAGTAGAGGCATCGCCAGAAAATGGTAGATCGGTGGTGGAAGTCACTGGTTGCGGTGGCTTTTTTTGGTGAGATGACTGGATCTTCGTGAACGACGGCAAGGGAGCTTGGGAGAAGGTAGATCGGTGGTTGAGGAAGCCTGTCGATGCCGGATAAGGTCGATCGACCCCGGGAAATGGAAGAAAAATCTCGCAGCGAAGGTGGACGATGAAACGTAATGCGGCCGCTAGAGATGAAGTGTGACAGCGCCGAAGAAAGTCAGAACTCAGAAGGTGGTTTTCGACAATAAGTGAAGGTGGAAGGTCACCGGAAAAGGGGAGGTCATTGCCAATTTGCATTTGGCCAGAGGGTGTGTTTGCTAGAATTGAAACCTTTAGGGACTGAAGGTGGTGTATTTGTTATATTTTAAACTTCAAATAGTTAAAAAGAGTGACCCGACCCGGAGAAGGCCCCGAGTCCCGATCCAACCGGTTGGACCGGCCGGTCCAGTCCGGTTTTTGAAACAGAGCTCCTCACTTCAGAATCAACTAACTATTCATTGACAAATTCCACTTGGGATAAGGATAAAGATGAAAATCTCATAGATGTTTACTAACATATGTAAACTAACTGGATTTACCGAACTTTTTTGGGTCTTGAGATTCATCTTTCTTACCATCTTTAATGTGTAGAAACCATTGAACTTTCAAGTCATTTCCCACCAAATAGTAGACCTAACTAGCTGCCCAACTCAAAATGTCGAAATCCAATACAATTTTAACCCTTTTACAAGGATGCAACAGCCTTCAAAGGCTTAAAAAAATCCATGCACATGTCATCATTAACGGTCTTCAACACCATCCCGCCATCTCCAACAAACTTCTCTACTTTTGTGCTACTTCAGTAGCAGGTTCCCTTTCACACGCTCAACTCCTCTTCAACCAAATCCAAAACCCACAAACCCAAGCTTGGAATTCACTCATTAGAGGATTTGCTCAGAGCCCTTCTCCTCTTCAAGCTATTTTTTATTACAATTATATGCTTTTGGTCTCTCTTTCCCGCCCTGATACCTTCACTTTCTCCTTCACGCTTAAGGCATGTGAGCGAGTTAAGGCTCTAAATAAGTGCCAAGAGCTTCATGGCTCTGTGATAAAATGTGGGTTTGAGACATGTGTTGTTGTTTGCACCGGTGTTATCAGGTGTTATGCTGCTAATGGATTGATTGAAACTGCTGGGTTGGTTTTTGATAAAATGTCTGAAAGAGATTTGGTTTCTTGGAATTGCATGATTTCTTGCTACTCTCAAGGGGGTTTTCATGTCGAAGCGTTGGGGGTTTATGAGAGGATGAGAAATGAGAAGGTGGGTCTTGATGGTTTCACACTTGTTGGCTTGCTTTCGTCTTGTGCTCATGTGGGTGCGTTTAACATGGGAGTTTATTTGCATAGAATTGCTTCTGAGATGGGGGTTTTGGGGAATGTTTTTGTTGGGAATGCTCTTATTGATATGTACGCAAAATGTGGAGATTTGGATTCTGCTCTTTGTGTGTTTAATCGGATGAAGAAGAGGGATGTGCTTACTTGGAACTCGATTGTTTTTGGGTATGGTGTGCATGGTCGTGGTGACACAGCTATTGATTTCTTTAGGCAGATGTTAATGGCAGGGTTTCAGCCCAATTCCATTACATTTCTTGGTTTATTGTGTGGTTGTAATCACCAAGGGTTGGTTGAAGAGGGTGTTGAGTATTTTCAGATGATGATCTCTAAGTTCAATTTGAAGCCTGGAATTAAGCACTATGGATGCATGGTGGATCTGTATGGACGAGCCGGGATGCTTGAAAAGGCACTTGAAGTTATTAGTAGTTCTCCTTCTAAGGATTGTCCAGTTTTGTGGCGAACCTTGCTTGGCTCTTGCAAGATACATAGAAATGTTGAAATGGGAGAAATTGCAATGAGGAATCTGGTTCAACTTGGGGCATCAAGCGCAGGGGATTATGTGCTCCTTGCGACGATATATGCTGCTTCCAAAGACCCAGAAGGAGTTGCACGGATGAGGAAATTAATGAAAAGTAAGGGAATCAAGACCACCCCTGGTTGGAGCTGGATTGAAGTTGGTGAAAAAATGCATAGATTTGTTGTGGATGACAAGTCACATCCAGATACAGAAATGATTTATCTAAAATTGGAGGAAGTAATCCTTCGAGCCCGCTCTGTTGGTTATGTGGAAGAGAAATCTCTTTTTGCCTTGCCTGGATCTTCCTCTGAAGATTGCTTGGAATCATCGAGCGCATATCATAGTGAGAGACTAGCAATCGCTTTTGGGTTGGCAAGTACTCCAGAAGGGACAGACCTCCGAATAGTCAAGAATCTGAGAGTATGCAGAGATTGCCATTTATTTACAAAGTTTGTATCAAAAGCATTCAAACGACATATAATTGTTAGAGACAGAGTACGGTATCATCACTTTAGGGATGGACTTTGTTCATGTGGAGACTATTGGTGAAAATGAACAATAGTGACATCTTCCTTGGAAATTATTCAAGATGTGCCTCAGCATATGAAGCTCAGGATATTCAGCTCCTCGATTAAATTCACTTGCCCTCGTTGCAACAACTGCTAGACTCGGAAGAAGAACAGGGGCACACTCCAGACTTGCCGCCCACCATCAATGGTTCTAGTTCCCGATACTGGGAAAGAGACGACAACCACTGTGATTGGAACATCTAATCTTAATGAGAAATCTGGTTCAGCTTGGGGCATCAAGCGCAGGGGATTACGTGTGAATCTGTTGCTTCTAATCTAACACTAGAAATAGTCTCTAAACAATATAAATCTTAACGGAAGAGCTTTATGTTGTAACTTTGATGAATGTAATTTATTAGCATGATAAAATTACATCTATTAGATTCTGTGAATGTTTGCTATTCTTTACAGAAGCAAGTGCCATATTGCAGTGTTTCCAAATCTGCAAATTATCACTATGGAACATACGCCAAGAAGTAAACATCATTCACCCACTTAGTTTATAGCCGCCTTTGCTCGGCATCTTGGATGTGGAACATAAGCTGCGGAATAAGAAAATTTCATTCAACATCTTCAATATACCAAAACTGATTTATCCATAAGAACCAAGTGGACATTTGGGTTGTGATTTGTAAAGAAGCAAATGGATCTAACATCAAATGGACGAAAAAAGCCCTTACACTGTTAAAATGGATCTAGCATCTGTTAGCAGCAAGTAGGGATGGGCGTTTGTATCCCCGAACGGGGTGGGTTTTCTCCGAAAAATCCGAGGGCAGGTGCGGGTGAAAAAAAAATCGTAATCGGGTGCGGGAATGGCTATGCACTTGCATCGCACCAGCCCTGCACCTGCACCCTCGTCTTAAAGACATAGTGTACTATTAGTTCTAAATTTCTAATTAAGTTTTTCAATGTAAAAGTGTGATTGTTTTGAAATTTTCATAGAACTATAATCATCCGGTAAAATTAGTTCATATATTTGTAACAATATTGTAAAAAGTGATGCAATGTACACAAAGATAGATCTTAATTGATGTGTTAAAACTTATATATAACGTCCATACATCAAATACGGCATTAATTGGGATTCAGTATTAAGATTCTAATTTTGTGTATTATAAATGGAGATACATAGTAAAAATTGAGAAACCTGTACTATGATTCCTCCTTTGATGCACTTTGACATTTTTTGGATCATCCAACCCGATTCATTAAAACCCGTCTAAATTTACTCATTTTTCATAGAGAAAGTGCAGAGGAAGATGTGTTGCCTATTTTAAATGATAATAATAACACATGTAGAGATATAAATATTAACATTGATCTTGGAAATGATTTAAATGGTTAAGAGGAAATGGTATAGATTTTTAATTTTGTAATTGATTTTGATTATGTAATACCATAATTTAAAACTAATAATATCAAAAAATTTGTTAATTAATTTTGGGAATGATATTAATTTTTAATTTTTAGAAAATTTTTATAATTTTTTTTTAAAAAGGCGTATTCTACTATACGACAAGATTCAAAAAATTAGATTTTCGATACATGATACGATATACAATTTGACAACATTTAATCCATTACGAGTCATTTTAACTTCATAAAATTGAGTTTTCATCTTGGTAGTTAGAACAATTTCTTTCAATGTTATAATCTTTGGTCAAAAGGTAGAAAGTAGAAACAACCGTTAAAGGAGATTGCATCAATTACCAGAATTAATTAGTAATTAGAAAGATTATATTAATCTTTATGCCAAGTGCCAAGGCAGCTGTAGATGCAAAAAATCTACCATCATGAAAATAGGGTGTGATCCCGTGAGGTTGAGGTCACTGACAATCCGTTAGACCTGCACACATGAAAGGGCAAGCGTGAAGCTTCCGGAAAACACCTAGGTGGTGTTTGCCGTAGGCACTCCGACGCTCAAGTCAGCAAGGCTGAAAGAGGCTTAATAAGAATTAAAGAGAAGAAGAATTACCAGGAGTCTTGTCGGAGGCTAGGACTACGGCGGAGGCGTCGGGTTATTGGGAGCAAGAATTTAGGAGCAAATAGATGGTTTTGAGTAGTGTAGATTGACTGTGGGAGATCGCCTCCTTAATGAGAAGGCAAGCCTCTGTTTTTATAGTGAACCTAAGGGGTTGGAATCCTAGTAGGACATTGAGTCCTCTTTTGGGAGATAATCCCTATCATAAAAGAGATATGATTTCTTAACCTTATCAGATTAAGTTTAATAGTTTAAATAAGAGTTGGAATCTTAGTAGGACACTAAGTCCTATTTTGGGAGATAATCCCTATCATGAAAGAGATATGATTTCTTGACCTTATCAGATCAAGTTTAATAGTTTGAGTGAGATTTGAAATCTTAGTAGAAGAGGAAATAGAATGAGATTCTGATTTCCTATTTATACTCTGTTGCAGGCTAATGGGCTGAAACCCAGTTTAGCTTAACTTATAGGATAGCCCAACTCATAGAGTGGGTAGGTCGCAAGGTGATTTTAAGCGTGGGCGCATCGGGATTGGGTTGAGGCCTTAGGCGCGTGACATGTTTATTTCGTTATGGGCCCTGTCAAGCCCAAGACGATTTTTTGCCCTAACAGTTAGCCCCCACTCTCTAAGTTAAAGAGTATTTAGCTTAGAGAGTATATTAAATAATGAGTGCAGATTGAGCGGATTGTGATAGCAGCTTGTTAGGTCGGATGGATCTGTTGTGTGATTGGGTCGATGACTTGTCAATTTGGATGTAAATCCGTGGATTGAGCAGGTCGATCTGAAGGTGTAAATTTGTGGATCGGCAGGCCGATCGGATGGTGTAAATTCGTGGATCGAGCAGGGTCGATCCGAAGGTGTAAATCTGTGGATCAGGCAAGGCCGATCCGAGGATGTCATCGTAATCGATCAGGGTCGATTCGAAGGTGTACGTACATTTATCGGGCGGGCCGATTTGAAGGTGTCAGTACGTTTATCGGGTAGGGCCGATTTGAGGTGTCATACGTTTATCGGCAGGGCCGTTTGAAGTGTCCGTACTTTATCGGCAGGCCGATTTGAAGGTGTCCGTACGTTTATCGGGCATGGCCGATTTGAAGGTGTCCGTACTTTTTCGGGCAGGCCGATTTGAGTGTCCGTCGTTTTCGGCAGCCGATTTGAAGGTGTCGTACGTTTATCGGGCCGCCGATTTGAAGGTGTCCGTACGTTTATCGGGCAGGCCGATTTGAAGGTGTCCGTACGTTTATCGGGCAGACCGATTTGAAGGTGTCCGTACGTTTATCGGGCCGGCCGATTTGAAGGTGTCCGTACGTTTATCGGCAGCCCGATTTGAAGTGTGTCCGTACGTTTATCGGGCAGCCCGATTTGAGGTGTCCGTACGTTTATCGGCCGGCCGATTTGAAGTGTCCGTACGTTTATCGGGCAACCGATTTGAAGGTGTCCGTACGTTATCAGGCAGCCATTTGAAGGTGTATGCCAAGTAGAGCTTGTATGGACTTGCGGTCAAGTCCGCGTGCCCGACTTGTAGTTGAAAACCTTTTGATTGAAGCTGGAGCAGTGACTTGCTATGGCATGCTTGTTTAAGCAAAGAGCCAATGGAGAGTTAATAGGCATGATGTGCATGTTATGACTGATAAAGAGTGAGCTAAATGGAAAATGGGCTGCATTATTTAAGTAATGGGCCGAATAGAGAAGATTTAACCAAATAGAGCGGTAGTTAAAATGAGATAATGACACATACCTTTCCCCTTCAAGTGTTGCCACCCATGCTTGCTGAATCAAGTGGAGTATTTGATTTGACTTTTAAGAGGTGATATGAAATACCATTAGTCCACTCGGAGAGCTCATGCAGCCAGAATGAAGAAGTAGCCTCAGCCCAAGAAAAGATGTTCCAACAGAGGTAGAGTTGTAATGCACTAGAATGATCACTGTCATTCAGCTCCATATAATCCTGATGTGTATTCTTCTAGAACAAATCGAATAGAAAGAAAAGACCAAATGGAGAAATAACCAATGATCATATGGTTTATGTTGTATCATGCGTGTCACCAGTCGAATAAGCCAAATGGAGAAACAAAGAGCTGAATAGAGAGTAAAATGCATAGGGAATGAATATGTTTAAATCAAATGAAATGATAGAACCGAGCAAGTGCTTGATCTATTTGGCCCTTCTCCCCTGCATGTGAGAACAACTTATGAAATATGAGTCCTTTGTGTAGGGGTGGGGATTGAAAGCTCACTTTTCCAAATATTTGCCACGTGGCCCTTTTGAATCAGGTGCATTAAACGCATGAGAAAAGTCTTACAACTTTTGAAGTTTGAAATATTTTATTACACATATAATTTTTGGCGTCAAGTTTTAAAGAAAATGGGTATTTGATTTCTTTGACCCTCATCTTCCCCATTCAGTTTCTTCATGAAGATTTTTCTGGCCATAGGAGTTTTTCAACTTTTCCCTCAGCGAATCACGGTAAAGTCTTCTCCTCTCTTCAAATTTCTTATTGTTTTCTACTTTTTCTGTATCCAATATTTTGAGGAGTTGAGGTGTTTTTTGGATAAAAAGGTTAAGTTTAGGGGCCGTTTGTGGCGTTTCTTGATAATTTTCTAGAGAGCGAAAATTGGAATTCTTTGAAATATAGGTTTTGGTCTGTAACAAATAATTTTGGGTTGGATTTGTTATTAGTCGTGACCTTCTGGAAAAAAAAGACGAATTTCTGTTGTGAAGTAGTTTTACAAATGCTTGGTGCCTTTATTTTTTGAAGGAGGCTGAAGGTGTTTCATGGGTTTTCTTCATTTTTTCTACAAAGTTTCATTTTCCATAGCTCTTGAGGTTCTCTAAACGAATTTGGTGATTTTTGGAGAAGATTAGAATTGTTCTTGGCAAGTTTCTTGGGGAACTTTGACTTTTTCATGGAAGAAGAAGGAATTGGAGGCGCATTCTTCCCATTTTTCTATGGGTGTATTGACTAGTAGATGATGGATAGTAGACTAGCGCGCTAGGCTAGTATCCGACACTCGGTGGAGAACTCGAGTTATAGTCGGGCTACCCTAGATTATATGGATTGCCAGGACTAAATGACGGGCTTGAAGGAGAATAAGATGGAGACGTAGGTGAATTGAGGTGTTAGGCTGGCAGGTGACAATCTTGGGCTGCTTGGTGGAGCCGTGATGGACTATATTTGGTAGACTGAGGACCGTGACTTGGCGAAGTAGGGCTATAGGTTGGTGAAGTAGGGTTGTATGATGGAGATGTGGGGCTATAAGAGGTTGATGTTGTAAATAAAAAGAGGGAGGTAATCGGCGTGAGTCGCTTCTATCGTTACATCGGAAACCAATTGGATGGACAAAACTCTGGTGGCATGAACCAAATGACGGAATCCATGCTGACTGATCTAAGATTATTAC